AAACACTGATGACAACTTATGCTGGAGAGGTTGTGGGGTACACTCCAGTATTGCTGGTGGGAATGCAAGCTGGCACAACCCCTTTGGATATCAGTGTGGCGATTTCTCAAAAAAATTAGGAAACAACCTTCCTCCTCAAGACCCAGTAATACCACTTTTGGGTATATATCCAAAGGATGCTCAATTGTGCCACAAGGGCACATGCTCAACTATGTTTATAGCAACATTGTTTGTCATAGCCACAACCTGGAAACAACCTAAATGCCCCTTAACCAAAGAATGGATAAGTAAAATGTGGTATGTTTACACAATGGAGTACTACCCAGCAGAAAAAAATAATGACATCTTGAATTTTGCAGGAAAATGGATGGAGCTAGAAAACATCATATTGAGTCAGGTAACCCAGACCCAGGAAGACAATTATCATATGTACTCACTCTTAAGTGGTTTTTAAACATACAGCAAAGAAAACCAGCCTACAAACCAAAATCCCAGAGAACCTAGACAACAATGAGCATCCTAAGTCCTAAGAGAGACTTACACAGATCTAATCTACAGGGGAAGTAGAAAAAGACAAGATCTCCTGAGTAAATAGGGAGCATGGGGACCCTGGGAGAGGGTTGAAGGGAGGGGAGAGGCAGGGAAGGGAGCAGAGAAAAATGTAGAGCTCAATAAAATTTATTTTTTAAAAAAAAAGGCTCTTAAGAAGCATCTGTGTGGGATAGGAAAGGAAGAGTGAGGGACTGTAAATCTCAGCAATATGACTGAAAGTTGCTCCACTTCTTTACCTCAAGGCAAGAGACACAGAAGAGTAAGACTCCCTCTGCAATCCACACCGCAATGCTTCCATTTTCACTATTTAACCTAGGCTTGCTCGCCTTCAGCACCACAGCTGATGACAGTATATGAGGTGTGTAAAGGGGAAACAAATGGGGCTATGGATGTACTAGGAACAGAAGAGGTCAGCTAGTGGCAGCAGACAAAGCGAGATAACCCAAAGGAGGCTTTAGCATCATTGTACTCTATCTAGTTCTTTCACGCTATCAAAAAACAAAAACAAACGTCATGCCCAGCCGGAAAACGTCATTCCTAATACTCCTTTACACGTCTGCAACTCTAAACTGCTGAAGGAAACAAAACGCACAATCCAATGCCTTGCTTTTTCAGAAATTAAGATTTATGGATGACATAATTTAAATGATCATTTCTTTGATTACGGCATAACCATATCTCTCAGACTAAGCTTCTTTCCCAAAGACAAAAGAGCAAACAATTCCATTTTTAAATGTAGGGGTTAATTGTGTTTTTTGTTTGTTGGCTTGGGTTTTTTTTTTTGAGACACTCTCAGAATGAAGTGAAGGATAGGATTATGAGCACACACAATCAAAGCTAGCTTCCAATGTGTTATTTTTAATCATTTAAATGAGAAATGGTCACCAAAACTCACAAACAAGTACTGAATTTCTTTTTTTTTTTTTTTTTTG